GGTGGGGGTGGGGGTGGGATGGCGGGAGGGTCAGATCTCTTGAGTTTGAGGCCAGATTGGTCTACAGAGTGAATTCCAGCATAGCTAAGACTACACAAAGAAATCCTGTCTAGAAATTCTGTATCACATGATACTTTGTGTATTTGTTTAACTCTCCAATGGTATTCAGAGGTGAAACATCTTTGTCTTGAGTGTAGGTCACTGGTGTGGTTAGCATCCGTGAAGCATGGACCCATTAGCATAGGTGAAGCTTGGGTTTTGTTCTTAGTTGATTTGGTACTTGTCCCGTAACCCAGATGGTCTTCCAAGTCATGGCAGTCCTTCCGCCTCAACCTCCCCAGTGCTGGAATCACAGGTTTGTGCCCCTAAGCGCTGCTTTCTTTATGTTTTTTTTTTTTTTTTAAATTTTTGATTCATAAGTATATATTTTTTCTCCTTTATCTAGAAAGGTTTCTCTTTCCCAGTATCTTCTGGTCTTTTAGAATATTGATATTTGCTCAAGTTTTAAACCCATCTTGAATTTGTGATAAGACTGTCTTGGGCCACAAAGATGGTTCAGTGGTTAAGGTGCTTGCTGGACACCTGAGTTCACCTGGGCCCCGCATGGTGAGAGAAGCAACTCTCATAGAAGTTTTTTTTTTTTTCCTGTCTTCTACTGTTGCCTCCCAAAACAAATAAAATTTGATAAAAATCTGTCATTAACTACCAGTGACTTTTAAGTCACTTTAATCAAACTTCCAGTTCTATTCATTCTGGCAACTAGACAGAATGACAACAGCTAATACTGAGATCGATTGGCTCTTGGAGGCAGAGGCAGGTGGATCTTTTTGAGACCATCCAGGGTTACACAAGACTCTGACTCATAAAAAACAAACAAAAAAAAAAACAGCGCTTGTAAACACCTCTGACTTCATGTTCTAAGCTTAGTTAGCTGTGCATCTTGAAATTTCATCTTTCTTTATATTTCTTTCGACAGAGTTTGCTGTGCCATCTTGAAATTTCTTCCTTTCTCTCTTTCTCTCTCCTTCCTTTCTTTATTCAAGACAGAGTTTCTCTTTGCAGCCCTGGGTGCCCTGGAACTTGCTTTGTAACAAACCAGGCTGGCCTCGAACTCAGGGATCCGCTTGACTCTGCCTCCAGAGTGTTGGGAATAAAGCCAAGGCGAGCGCTATCACCGTCCAGCTCCATCTTGAAATATCTAATCACTTTTGAACAGGGTCTAGGCATCACCATTGTTCTCCAGCCAGAGCTTGCCAATCAGGTTGAGGTCCTGCCCTCCATCCGCTCGGGCGTTCTGTTAAGGAGCTGTTGGACTTCTCTCTCGTGTGTTACAATGGGAAAATGGAGGCAGGAAGGTACAATAAAGCCACGAGCCAGAAGGCTGGGAGGGGTTCGAACCCAGCCTCGGGCCGGGCTGCGGAAAAGCCCATGCGCGGGCGGCTCCGCGTCGGCATCCCCTCCCCCTCGACGGCGGGCTGGGTGCTCCGTCCGCGCCCGGGCGCCTTCCTCCCTGTTCCCTAAGCGGCGGCGCGCGCTCGTCCCTGCGGGCGGGCACAGCGGTTGTGTGGCCTGCGAGTTTCCCCGAGTTCACGCAGGCCCTGCGGTTGGCATGGCAACGGGGCAACCTGTTCCAGAGCCGCCCGCCCGCCCGCTCCGCACACGCCGCTGCCACCGCCGGAGCCGGGGCCGGCGCCGCTCCCATGATGCACCGCGCCAGCCCAGTCCCCAGTGGGCCGCCATGTTGTCGGAGTGAAAGGTAAGGGGGAGCGAGAGCGCCGGCGAGCGAAGATCGGGGGGCCGGAATCCATCTTCATCCTACCGCTCCGCCCGTGAGTATCCGCACCCGGGTGACCCCAAACCGCGCTCCGGACTCCCAGCGAGCCGATGCGCCGCTTGTATTGGCGTTTGGCCGCGGTTGGCGGGGCGAGGAGGGCTTAGAGACGCCTCCGGGCCTGGCGGAGGCTCGGCGCTCGCCCCGCTCGTACGTGTTTGGGAGGCGGCAGCGAGGCCCTATTGTTATCCGCGAGGAGGGGGTGGGGAGCGGGCCGCGGCCGGGGCCCGGCCCGGAGCTACCGCCGGCGGCTCCGTGCCTCCGTGCGGCCCTGCCGGGAGTCCCTGGAGATTGGCGTTGGCCGTTCGGCTCGGCTCTTTGTATTTCTTTTATCTGTCTATTTATTTATTTATTTCGGGATGGGTTGGCGAAGCCCAGAGCCCTCCCTTGTGGCCGCGGAGTGGAAATTCGGTGCTCCCGCGGGTCCCTTGGACTTCTGGAGCTTCCGTGGCAGCGCCGAGGGAGGAACAATACATCGCTTTCGAAAGCGGCGGCGGGCCCCGGTCCACGGGCGAGACCCCACGGTGGTGGGGAGTGGGCGATTTTTGCAAGCCTTAGATGCGGAGAGGTGGCCATCAGGAAGTTTCGGATCGCCTTTTGGGCTCCTGGGGTTTCTTGTGGCCTTTTGTTTCCGTGAGAGCGTGTGTTTCTTTTTTTTTTTTTCTTTTTTTTTTTGGGGGTGGTGGTGGTGGTGATGGTGGTGCTCTTCCTCTTTGAGCCTCCCGGTTGTAGTGTGCTTTTCTCTCCAAGGGGCTTTTCGAAAGCCTTAGGCAGTAGGAAAACCATGGTAGCTACTCAGCGCTACAGTTTCAGTCCTCACGAACGTGGTTGGTAAACACGGGTCATTTGTTTTCTCGACAGTACCACTCCCACGTCAAGTGAGGAACGCTCCTGTAGTAACTTTTCTTCCGAGTAGTTCACCTCTCCCCCATGTGCCCCCCCATTGAAGAACTCCCACACATCACCAAGAGAAGGCTTTATCCTCACCATAACTTTAAAGAATTGTTCGTTTTCATTGTGCAAATTACTATAACGCTTCGTTACACTTGGTCATTTTGCTCGGCCCATTAATGACTCTTATTATGAAGATGATTTATGAGGCCTTTTGGGCGTTCTGTTTTTAAAATCTGTTACTTCTGAAGCTAGGATTGTGCTTTAGCTTTTAGTTTTGGCGGAAAAGTTACCAATGTAGTCCTCCCGCTAAAATAAGCCGCTACCTTTGGGGTGTTAGTAAACAAAGTAACCATTTTGACCCATCCCTGATTGTAACTTTGTAAAACATTCTCGCGCACAGGATTCTTTACCTGAGCGCTTGGGAAGAACTACTGGGTTCTGAACTCGGAGTTAGTATTTTGCCTTTCCACGGTTGAATTCATCTTGTCCAAGGCCTCAGCTTTTTTCAATTGGGATTTGTTTAGTTTGGGGCTGTGCTGAACTGCTTTAAGATAAATTTATGTTCACAAAAGGTTGGTTCGGTGTGGTAAAATAAACACCTTTTAAACCGGACCGTCTTAGTAAAAAGAGGTAGATTAAACCCTGCTGCTTTGTTTAGAGAAAACTCAATAATAGTGATATTTAAAAAGTAAAAACAAACTGCAGCTTGATCTTTACACAGTTTGAAAGACTTGGTACTTCATTGTATTGTTAAAACGTCGGTTTTTTAAATAGTCATTTGTAAGACAATTTATTTCAAATACTATACATAACTTTTAGTGAGCTTTCAGAGTTCCCTGAAAGGTAACATCAGTTTCACGGTTTCTGGTACTTAGGTAACTGATTATTAATTTTTGTTTTGTCAGTCCTAAGATGTTACAAAATTCTCCCACACACGTTAGTGTTTCGATGTTGCTCACTTTTCAGTTGTCCCTTTTGCCAGGGTTTCTCTTGTCTGAGAAACTGCCTTGCCTCCTTAGGTAAAGCAGGAAGTCTCGGCCTCCAGAGAGCCTCACAAAAGCCAATTGTTGTGCTTGAATATTTTTGTAAGTGACCCTTCCCCAGTTATTTTTTAGAATGAGATTGTTTTCAGGGACCAGCTTTTTATTACTATGGAAATTCATTTTAGGTAGCTTTTGACATTTACTATTTTAAGAATTCCCTTGGAGATTGGGGCTCTGTTGCCTTGACTGGTAGGTAACTAAATTTGTGGAATTGTCAGCATAGTGATTTGAAATTTGTTAAAACCTTCATAACTTTTTTTTTAATTAGAAAGCTCCAAAAAAACTAAGGCACGGAGGAAAGACAAACTTACTTTCTTTGGAAACTGGCAGAGATTTTTTTTTAGTTTAGTGGCAAAACTTGGGCTTTGCATCTCTTGGCCTAGTATTTGATAGAGATTCTCTTGCAGAAGAAAATGTAATATGCAGTCTGAGGGTAGTGAGGTCTTTAGAGAGTGAGGAGGCATTAGGCTGGCATTCACTTGGCAAAAGCTGATGATGAAACACCTATGATTTTCTAGTTTTGTACTGAAGCCTAGACAGCATTTTATTCATGTGAGTCTAGAAGGCTAAAACTGTTCTAGTAAAGGTTCTGTTGGATGGGGTTTAATTGGGGAGAAGGGGTTCAAAGACTGTATTGGAATTGTTGATTTATACCAGGCTTTTCCAAAGTAGAGGTTTTTTTTTTTTTGTCTTTTTTTAGTTATTTTTATTTTATGTGCATTGGTGTTTTTTACCTGCACGTATATCTATGTGAGGGTGTTAGACAGTTGTGAGCTGCCATGTGTGTGCTGGGAACTGAACCTGGATCCTCTGGAAAAGCAGTTAGTGCTTTTAACCACTGAACCATTTCTCCAGCCCCCTTGTCATTTGTTAAGAGAATATGTGGTGGTGTTCCAGGTTGGCCTTAAACTCTCACAGTTTAAATGTAAGCTGCCTTTGGAGTATTAGTGCTTCTCCTGCCTTAGTCTCTCAGAGTGCTGGGATTACAAATTAGGTTTTGACAGATTGCAGATTGCTTCGTGATCTCTTACTTATAGCTTCCAAACATGAATTAATTGTAAGAATTTTCCAGGAGGTTACTTATCTAATAAGAGAACATGGTTGGAGACTGGAGAGATGATGTTCAGTAGTTAAGAGTACTTGGTGCTTTGCATATATGGTGTATGCCTTTAATCCTAGTACTCAGGAGGCAGAGACACATGGGTCTCTGTGAGTTCAAGACCAGCCTGGTCTACAAAATAAGTTCCAGGACAGTCAGGGCTGTTACACAGAGAACCTTTCTTAAAAAACAAAAACAAAACAAAAAGCACTTGGGGATGCTTTTGCAGAGGACATGTGGTGTTTTGTTCCCAGCACCCACATGGTGGCTTACAGTCATCACTGACTCCAGTTTTTAGGGACATGATGCCCTCTTCTGACCTCAGACATTGCATGTACATGGTGCACATACATGCAGGTAAAACATACCCAAAAGAAGAAAAAAAACTTCAAAACAGACAACGGGGCTGGAGATATGGCTCAGTGGTTAAGAGCACTGACTGTTCTTCTAGAGAATCTGGGTTTAATTTCCAGCACCCACATGCCAGCTTACACCTATCTAACCTCCAGTTCTAGGGGATCTGATATGATATCTTCATACCAATGCACATAAAATAAAGCTGAATATATTACTAAAAGAAAACAGGTTTTTTACTTGTTTTGAGCAGTGCTGATATCCTTGGAAGTTACTCTAGTGGTAGCAGATAGGTGTATATTAATTGGTAACCCCTTTATTTTGTGTGTACAAATTTAATTATTTGGTTTTTGAGGAACTTAAGTAGCAATGCTTCCTAGTAACATTTGATTTCTTTGTTGGATTTCCAGAGGAGTTTAACACCCTACAGATAACTAACTGCCAGGAGCGGTGGCCCACTTCTTTAGTGCCAGAAATCAGATAGGCGGCTATTAGTGAGTTCAAGGCCAGCCTGGTTTCCTCGTGGTGAGACTGTCTCAAAAAACTAAAAAAGATAGAAGTTATACTACTACTAGGATTCTAGAATGAGCTGGGATTGGTTTCAGAATAGCTTGAGATCTCTGCTTTCTAGATGGATGATGATAGCCTTGGGCTCCTCCTAACTTCTGTGATGTTTTACTGTAACAACAGGGCTGCTAATGCTTCCCTTTCAGTGTTTCTGTGATGAGATAATGTCTGCCATGTATTTGCTACCCTATTCCTGTGGTGAGACAGACCTCTGGTTTTTACAGTGAGGTTAGTCCTGTTTCTAAGTTGATCACTAATGAACGTGATTGCTTTGTATTTGTAGGTTACTAGTAAAAGTCTTGCTTTCCCCCTTGTTATGAAACCACTGATGGTCTTGGTTAGGATATATACTCTTGTCACACAAACATGTTAGATATTTTAAAGGGTCCTTTGAAGTTACAGGATCTAAGCCATAGGCTTTTTTAAAATTTATTTTTATTTTTTGTTTTATGGTGTTTTCCTTGTGTGAGGGTGTCAGAAGCCTTGGAACAGGAGTTACAGACAGGTGTGAGCCCCCATGTGGGTGCTGGGACTTGAACCTGCATCCAGGAAGAGCAGCCAGTACTCTTTAATTGCTGAGCCATGTCTCTAGCCCCAACCCTAGGCTTTTTTCTTTTAATATTCATTCATTTACTTATTTATTATGTA